ATATTTTTCATTCAATTTAAATAGCCAAAAGTAGATGATAATAGAAAAAATTACTAAAATTAATGCTTACTACGATCGTAACAATATTTATACTATATTACGATTCCCTTTAACGACATCACCGATGTATGATATGTGACATCCATACCTGTGTTCCACCATGACAATATATTTGTATCAATAAAAGTAGGTAACGACTTAATAGATGTCCATTTCCATCAATGTAGATTAACTTTAATCTCGGTTCAACTTATTCTTCGTCTTTTTCTAATCTTTAGAACTAGAAAAAGACAAAGATTAAGTTGAATCGAAATTAAAGTTAATCTGCATTGGTAAAAACAGGCCTCAGACAAACACACCTACAGCACGATGACAAGCGAAAACGTAGGGGAGATCGGGACTAATAGACTCATTTTTCAATTTTGAATTTTTACAGACAAAATTAAGAGATTTATCGAAAAAATGAATTCTACACCAGTTACTACATACATTTGACTACCTAATAATATTTTAATAATAAGGGGAAACTGATAACTAATATGAAAATAACTAATATGAAAAACTTTTATAAAAATATATTTTAAACACAAACATTCGCTTCACAGGGCAAACAATACTTCTTTTTGTAAAATTTGTTTATTTCGTGCAAAAACACGTCAAATAAGTCTAGTTTTCGAGATTGGACATGAGGGAACTAAACTTATAATATTTACCATTGAGGAAAATCTCTTTAAAGGAATAAAATTTTGAAGATTATAAGAGTCGTCACTAAATGAATCATACAGTTCCATGTTGTGGTTAATCTACTATCCCCATCCGTTTATTTTTTAAAAACATAATAACAAAGATATACATAAACAAAAAAATCTGTTGGACTTTAAGTAAGAATTACACTTATTATCTAAGTAGAAATCAAATACGATCTCAGACAATCATATACGTAAAAATATACAAAAACTATAACATATACAAAAACTTTAAGAATTAAAATATTTACTTAGGTGTACGATTTTTTAAAACTGTGGCATAACTTCTATTATAGATGTGTCAGACAAGATGTTACAGCGGCAGTCACTGCTGCGTGTTCAAACACGTTTACGCATGTCTCGCGTGTTTTATTTTTAATGTAGCCTCATTAAATGATTATTCTACTTACCCCTATATTCAATTGACCCCGATCTCCCCTATTTATGTGAGCGAAACATACATACATTGTAAAGCGAATAAACAAAAACACTATGTGTGAATTACAAATGTACTTAAACAAAAAGAATCATTATGACAATTGCGATTCACGTCATCACATACATTGTGGATTTTTTCTATCTTAAAATTGTCGTGTTATCTGCTCTGAAGCCTCTTTCCATTGAGGCTGTTAGAGTATTTTGTTTCCAGTGAAATAAAGTATTAAAGGGTTTTCGGGGTCGCTGATTTCAAATCCGGACCCAAAATTTGAAAATTCAAAATGTCTGAACTAATATGGCGGATGGAAATGTTAAAAGTCACTCGATTTCGATGAAATGTAACGTTAAAAGTCCAGTTTCCATAGTCGCAGATTCCGAATTAGAAATTAGAATTTGAAAATGAAAAATGTCTGATTCAATTAAACTGGCGGATAGCAATAATATAAGTGTTCTGATTTTTGCGGTCTTTCAATTTTGGCTATGGCGGATTAAATGTTACGGAAATGCTAAGAGTCCAATTTTGAATTTGAACGTAAAATTAAAAAGTTCAAAATGGTTGTCCAATAATGGAAATGGCGGATGGAAATGTTACGTAAATGTTCAAAGTCTTTTGATTTTATGTAACGCTAAAGGATTTTTGTGTTCGTTTATTCCGAATCCGGACCTCAAATTGGAAAATTCAAAATGGCTAAATATGGCGAACAAAAATGCTAAAAGTCACCCGATTTCGGTGAAATATAAAGTATTTCAAGCCATTTCTTTTGTAAGTTTCAAAATTATAATTGAACGTCTCATGATATTCTTATAAATTATATAAATATGGAAAAATACTTTTTGTTTGGATATATCCTTGTATTCATTTACATATATAAGAAAGAAGAATCTATAAGGTAACAAAAAACTGTAATTTACAATTTTTTGGGGATTTTGATACCAGTTTGTATTTTTTCAAAGATGTTTGCGTTTTTTCTTTTATTCTGGAGGAGGAAACCAAAATTGTTCGAGAAATACAAAATGACGTTTCATCGGTAATTCAGCATCCTCTTAAGAGCACTTTACTCTTGAGAAAGCAATTCTAAGCAATGTATTATTAGATAAAAGAAAAGTGTTTGTTAGTATACAATGCGTTATTTTTAGTAATTTGTTATAAAATTTAAAATCAGACGTGTGCAGGGATTAGTTTATATCATAAGATAAGACCAGGTTAACTCGCTATACCGTATCTGTGAACATTTAATTACAATTTAACTCTGACAAAATGCTTTATATTTAATATTTCTATATTAAAATGAAGTAGAATTAAAATGTGCACTTATTTTTCTGTAAAACATTTTGCTATTTGATCATTACAATATAATTTTGAAAGATATAATTTTTATTGAAAAGTACATATCTATTATCTAATTTTTATATTTATTACTTTTCTATTATGTTTTTATTACTTTAATATCAGTTTATCACAGAGGCAATGTATACCGTGGTATATTGTACTAATTTATCCCACAATAATTTATCCCATATTGTACTAATTTATCCCACAAATACTACAATGCAGCATGTCGTATTTTATTATTGCAAAGAAACTATACAGTGTATAGAACCATTACTGGTATGAAAATGTAAAGAAAGGTTCTATTATATTGATATATTTTAATCATATTATAATAATTAATTGTTTAAAAAATTTGATGCCGAAATTGTGAAAACTGTACCAATGAGACCTGGTCTCCCCTATTATATAGTTTTTAGAATCGCTAATTCCGAATCCGGATTCCAAATTTGAAAATTCAAATTGAATTATTTGATGGATGGAAATACTGAAAGTTCTTTAATTTTTCGAAATGTAATATTAAAATTTCAGAGTCATTGATATCAAAACTGGGTTAAAATATAGCTGAAGCAATATGGGCAGATAGAAATATTATGGAAATGCTAAAAGTCTTCCGATTTCAGCTAAATGTGGCATTAAAGCGTTCATGGGATTGTGAATTTTGAATGCAGCTGATTTTGGATTCAAAATTTGAAAATTAAAAATGGCTGAACTAATGTGACAGATAGAAAAACTATGGAAATACTAAAAGTCTTTCAATTTTGGTGAAATGTAGCGTTATGTAGTTAAAGGATTTTTGGGGATTGTTGTTCCAAATCTAAGTCGAAGTTTGAAAATTCAAAATGACTCAATCAATCAATATTCAGCCATTTTAAATCAATATTCAGCCAGGGCGGATGAAAATGCTAGAAGCCTTCCGATTTTGGCAAAATGTAATATTAAAGTATTACTTGTAGTTTTATTTCAATATAATCATAGAAATGAATAATATAAGAAATATGTTTTATATCACACTCATTTTTTTTCACTTTATATACACTCATGTGTTAATTTTTTTTAAAATTTGTTAGGAATAACATAATTATCGTATAGACTTTCATTCTTTCTCTATACAATTACGATATAATATAACTAAAAACGTATGGAATTACATCTTATTATTATTCCTTATTTTTCATATGGCAATATTTTTTATTAAATTAATAAGTTAACGAAACGATTGTAGGTAAGATAGTTTAAAACAATAGACAAGATGAAATTTTTATATACACAGGACATATTTATTAATATGTAATACGTAATGCATAATATATTAATTGTAAATGAGAGTATGTATTGTAAATTAATTTTACAATACTAGACATATGTAAAATAAAAATTTAAAACAAATTTAATATGAAATGTAACCTTTCCATATTAATAATACAGCCTTTAAAAAAACTATAAAAATGTTACCATATATATCATTTAAAAATATCCAACACTTGATTTACACAATATGTAAATAAAAAAAAAATTATATAACATTTGAAAATTATAATTTCGTTAAGGCTGTTAGAGTCCTAGATTCTAATAAAATTTGGTATTATAAGGTAATCGGAATCACTGATTTCAAAACCGAGTTCAAAAAAATCTTGCACAATATCATAGGATTTTGGCCCTCGAAATTGATTAAATTTTAGTATGTTATAATTCTTGACTCATTGATCAAAAATGTCCATAGGCACAAAGCTTGAAATGACTAGGTTTTTTGTTATAGCCGTTTTATTTTATTAATGTTTCAAAAAATTTCTGTAATAAATTAAAAGATTTTAAGTAACAATATGCTAACCACTCTCAATATTTTCATTCCCACTTACACCCCACTCCACCTCCACTCCACCCCACTCCATCCCCACTCCTATTCCCATACACATACGCCCGCGCATGCATTTTTATATGAAAAAGGTGCATTATATAAAAATCGAAGTTTCGTGTGTGTGTGTGTGTGTGTGTGTGTGTGTGTGCGTGCGTGCGTGCGTGCGTGCGTGCGTGCGTGCATGTGTGTAATAATACAAACTATAGAAATCAAAGCCTTAAACGGTCTAGCCGGATCTTAAATGCTTGTATGATTCTTGTGTGAATTTATATTTTACGTATGTAGTTTTTAGAAACGCAGGCCGAAATGATTTTTCAGTCTTGAAATGCTAACTCTATTAAACTATCGCAGCAATATCACGAGTTAAATTGATTAGCGATTTAACAAATTTTTGATGCTTATTCGCATCTTCGAAATGATCTTAATAATGTTGAATGACATATTAAAATCTGTAAATATATGATCTGTCCAATTCTATGGGCACTTTAGTGGAGATTTTGCACTCGATGCGCCAAGAGTCTTGGAGTTACCGCGCGAACCACACAACACAATCCTTATCGCGACGGAATTGATACAACAATAACACATCATTGCACGAGCATCGCACATAGAATCCTGTACTACATACGCGTCTTCTCTAACGAGTTCCATCTTCCGTAAAACGCACTTCAAATCATAAACGATGAACGATACTCGTTCTTTATTGCAGTAGTTCCCAAAATCGAGCCACTTGTCCTCGCTAGGCAGTCGAATGGCGCAGTCGTTCATTTTCCCATAATCCATTGCGTGCAACTGCAATTTTTCTCTTGAGCTAAAGTAATGAAGGCATCTATAAATAAAGAAATTATTTTTCACTATTTATTATTAATATTTTTTTTATCATTTTATTATACTTAACGATCGCAGAAATATATTTTGTTCTTGTTCTCAGTAATTCGTAATATGAAATGGGATAGATTCTGATCCACGCAAAGTGGTTGAAACTATTACATAGATCTTGCACGTACAGCATGTTGACGTGCTTCTCCTTTTTATCGCCTGTAAGCCGTAGAGGAAGAATCTGTCCATTTTCGAAGCTACATTGATCGACACAGCATTCAAACATTCAAATTTCAGAATGTCTTTTATTGTCATCGGAAATTCGGTGTCTGCGGACATGATGATCTCGCTCCGTATATTTTTTAGCTGGATGTAGGAACGGCGACTACCGACCACGCGAAGTACGCATTGTATGCACACTGATCACCGCCTTCTTCAGCATAATTTCTTGCGGCACTTTGATGTGGCATACCACGTGCATGGGGATTTAATTTATTCACGTTGACAGTCAAGATGAATTTGCGATAATGCCCACCGCTATCACATTCCTGGAAATCTCTTCCAGAGATACCAACGTGGATTTGATGACGTATCGCTTGTACCATTCGCGCAAAGCGATGCATCGATATATCTCACTGTTTTTTGTGTTTATGCTTTTAACGACATGTCATTCGTCGCAAATTCACCGTTGAATGCGGTGTTCACTTTCACATATATTGTGTCTTTCTGCGTCTCGCACTCGATCGAGCACTACATTGCCATCCAAAAACGGCCGTGGCTCGATGTAGTTCGCATCAATCACCGATCAGAACACGATTCCCGAACGCGATGTCGATCTCTCGCCAGAGAGATCTTTCGTCGTCACTCGCGTTCTCGCCACCAACGTGTACGAAATGTCGCTTCTATTGCGACTTTGCACTCGCGAGTCGCGCGATTCTCGCCACCATGGATTGCCTGTGTCCAACGGCGAGGCGCGGACACGACAGAATTCTTCGAGCTGCTCGATGCACTCGTCGCATCGTTGCAGCCACGCGAAACACTCAACTAGAATAGCGATCTGGACGTACTGCTCCAACAGTTCGCGTTCCACCCGTATACGGTTTTCCATGTCTTTTTTTTCAGATCATGTCGCATTCTTACACGGAGTACTTGCACGTGATTCATTCACATATGTTGCAGCACCGCAGAATATCTAGAATGTTATAGTATTTTAACAGCTTGATATGTTCGTCTACTAAAATACACTCTTCACAATGACGGCATACTTGATTGCGCATATATCACGGAACAGTTTTTTAGAACAGGATTAGCTCCTCGCGGTTTTAATGTGGCATCACTAAATTGTCAGTTATCATCAAATCGACATACTTCTCACTATCCGCGGGAATCTTAATGCGCCTATAGCTACAGATATCTTATTCTCGCTTTTCATCAACCAGTAACACTTTCCCTTTATTAAACCGCAAGTTTTGTACCAAAATCTCTCTTCGAAGTCAACTTCTACCATTTTTTTTCCTAATCACCCGAACCAATATTGCTTTTCATCATCGTCATCGTCATTGACAACGACTCCCTGATTCACGACGCATATACCTATTTCTCGATTGCATAGAAACGAAGCGATCTTCGTGAGGATTCGGCGATATTCGCACGTCTCTGCTCTGTGGATCACAATCTTCATGCACATTTCTCGCGTTCGTTTACAATACTGTTCAGAATAGTTTTTTAATATGTACAAAGTGGCACATATTGCACGAAAATACAATGTACATCTCTGCAATTCGAGCATGACCTGCCATCTAGCACACCTAAAGAATCGGTATTGCTCTTCCTGACAAGATACATTCCCAATATCCATGTCCGACAAATCAATCATGCACGATGCACATACGGAAGAAACATCACCTATTATATAATAACAGTATATTATGCAATGTTTAGTATGAATATTCAGCGCACGGATTTCCAAAGATTGCTCAAATTCCTCTGCGTGATCCGTATTGTATTCACTCAAATTACTGATGCAACCAGTATCATCAGATTGTACTTCTTCATCTGACATCTCTTGGTTCATTATCTCTTCAACGTCTACTTTTATTTCTTCACCTGTCTCATTTATAACATCTGTAATTTATCACAGCTCCGCATTTTCGATATTTCTCGAACACTACATCATCCATGTTCTCAACGTTCGCACGATGGTCAATTATATTTTTCCCATTACTCTTATTACGACCGATTCGGTAGTCTTCCAACGCACCCACTATAGTGCCGCGTGTTTATAACACATTATATGTATATTTCATTTGTGACTTGTCCCTTTGTTTACCCCCCCCCCCATCCCCCCATTAGATCATACATTATTTGACTGATCATACGAATTGCGTCATCTATGTTCGGTTTCAGGAGTAGGGATAAAATCGTAACAAAGCTTTCAAATATTTTTTCTCTGTCAAACGAAACAAGTAATAATTAGCGACTGTCTGCTAAGTTAATTATACGTTATCTCACATATTCCTAAATGAGTGCTCTATAAAAATTAAATTAACTACTGTGTTTACAATTTTTATTTTTTATTTAAAATTACTTGTGCAACTTAACTTTAAATTACTTAAATTACATTTAACTTACTATATCAACATAATGTCACCAATAATTAAATACAAATGCGATTGCAATTCTTTCTTAGGCAAACAAGAAGATGCTTCAATAATCAATCTTAAAATATGATTCAAATTAATACAGTTCCTATACCAAACTGATCCAGCTATTAAAAATAAAGTTTTTAATAATTTAGTTAATTGAGGTAAAGTCGAGTCACCAATCTTCAATAATACTTGAAAATGAAAAAAGTTTTGTAAAAAATATCTCATACATAATAATAATTAGATAATAATATTACTTATGTTTATTACAAAATAATAATTTACTATTAGGTGTACAAATAAGTTTCCGCCGTTTTTTATCAAAAATTAAGCATTTGTGAAAGAACGATACATAATGTTTTACTGATGTAAGTCAAAATGTAAGTGCAAGTTCTTTTTGCGTTTGGCACGAATCTTCATTCAATAATGCTTCCAATTCCGCGTCTTCGGTCTTCTGCTACATTCTTTGTCTTCGACGTCAAATTCACCGTTCTTAAATTTTTGAAACCATTCACAACAACTTCTCTCACTTAAGGCAGCTTCTCTCCATGCTTCTACAAGCAATCGATGAGCCTCAGCTGCAGATTTCTTCAAATTAAAAAAGTAAATCAAAAGTTCCCGCAAATTCATTTGAGAAAAATCTTTTTGACGTTTTCTGAATTCATTAATAAGAAGTTTTACTTTACCATAAGAAAACCTCGATAGAAAATTTTTCATATATGCATCATAAAACGTATCTTTAAACCAACGCTTCATACGTTTGACGCTATAATCATCCTGATCCAAATGTATCAATGTATTCCATAATCGATTGCATAATTACAATTTGCTCAAAATTGTAATCTCTGTGTAACTCTCAACTTTCTCATCTGAACATACTTTGAGTCAAATATCAGACATTAGTGGCATCAATAAATTTACATATTTTACAAATTCTTCTATAAATAAGGTTTCTTTTTCACGGTTATCTATAAAGATCGTATCTTCGTCAAGATTAATTTCACAAAATTGAATCGCACTATCGCTATAAACTGGAATATATTTTTTCATTTTCACAAACGGAGGCATAATCGATGGTATACCTATACAAAGTTTCCTGTAGTTAACAAATTTACATTAGTACTTTTAGAATGTAATGTTGTCATTAATTGCGCCACAGGGCTACCTTCATTATGTAACCTGCATATCATATCCAAAAATTAGGTAATATTTTATAACTATCTTTCGCCAATGCACTATTACAATTTTGTACAAGCACATCTAAGAAAAGTAGAGAATCTTCTTTCACATGTGGATCAATGTGTCACTGCACAGTCATTGCACGATATTATATACCATAATTTCATGCAAAAATATCAACTGTTCATTTGAGATAAGGTCAAGAATAAAATTAAGTGCATGAAATGAATTTGTGCGTATTTCTTTCTCTTTATCAAGAGAAATTACGATACCATGTAACAGAATTCAATTGTGAATGTAAAGATTTTAGAGGATTTTGTAACAAGATGTCTTTTAATTGTTTCAAAGCATTTTATCTCACAGTTGAATTGTGATGCCGAAAACGTGGTGATAAATCCTGAAAATACATTTACATAATAATGTACGTACAAGGTCAAATTATAACGTATTAAACAAGGTTAAGTTTATACAAGACAATTCAGTAATTATTGAATTTAGTCTCCTCACCTCCTCGAGGTTGATAAAATTAGACTCATTCGACGAATTTTTGCATTACATAAACAAATGGCAAAAAATGTGTCGCTCTGCCTCGCAAACCGAGTTATTAATTATTAAAGTTGACAGATTAGGAAATCTGTTGCATCGATGACATAGAATGTTAAACAAATTTTCTGCTTTACAAACAAATATTTAACCAAGACAAATACTCTGCTGTAAAAATAAAAATTATATAGAAAATAATTTGTATTCTTAAAGCAAAGAATGTGTTCTTAAAGCAGAGAATTTGTGTAATTGAAGCAGAAAACACTTATTCTAGCTTCAATTACATGTTCTCATATCCTTCTATGCCATCGATGTGACAGATTTTCTAACTTGAATGTCATAAATTTTAACGATTAATATCTGGATCCACGGAATAAAGCGATACATTTTTTTTTGCCGGATTCGTTTATTTCATGCAAAAACGTCGAGTAAGTCTAATTTGTGTAATTGCAGAAGCAGAAAATCATTTACGTGTTCCTCTATGCCATCGATGTGACGAATTTCCTAACTTAAACTATCTCACTTTAATTCAAAAAATGTACACTATTTTATCATTAGCCACAGAAAACAGACATGACTATATATTGCCAGCGCCACATTTGCCTCTTGCGCCAAAAATTCCAAAAGGACAAATCCCCCATTCCATATCCAGTGGGATGTTTCTTAATCTTAATATAAAAGTTTTAGATTCGATTTTGCGTCACAATATCTCGGCTCATAGGGCACGTAGAGAAAAAATAAAAATACTTTCATTATATATTTAGAACCAGATGCAATCGATTAAGCACACTTAGAACCTGATCAGTTCAGCCCTTATTGAGGTCCAATAATCTAAATCCCTAGCAACTCGTCGGCTCGCGTAAAGTAGCCATGGCAGTGTCGCTGCGCGTTGCTTAGCGCCGAAACACTCCAGATATCGGTGTTTACGTAAACACCGATTCCGCCGACCCTGGGACCTTCGCCGAGCCTTCCCTCTCTCTCCGTGCTTACAAACCCTCTGCGCCTCGCTCGCCCCTCTATTCCCATGGATTAGAATCCCCATATTTATATTACTTATAACTCATCACCGTGATATTTGAATGAAAACTGACATGAATGTTCGACATCGTAGGTCGTAAAGTATTGTTTATAAACACTGTACGCGTTATATGTCGAACCATAGCTTAGCCATAACACATATGTACGCAGCAGATTTTCAAACTCGATTTTCTTGAAAACTAATTATATAGTTTTATTCTGTATATTTTTTTTTACATTTGTTAAATGTTTACCTTTACACAGTCCGTTCCAAATGACTTTTCACCAATCTCGATGTTGATCTTGACCTTTAAGGACCTTTAAGTCATTGATTTTTTTCATCGCTCATCATTTATTAAAAAGTTATAAACAGGACAATTTTTATCATTTCAGGTGAAAGTTGTGCGCCCTCAAACAGGGAGAGAGGAGGGGTGAGAGTCGCTTCGCGTGGAAAGTGGTGCACTTTCTCCTTGGAGGCACTTTCACTTAAAGTGATCCCCAGCCCACCTTCACCCCCCCCCCCCCCCCCCCCCCCTCTCTATCTCCCTATTCACTTATTTATTGA